AATTTGCTTGTCTTGGTGCTTTTGCCTGAGCTCTTGGGCCCCTATTCCAATCTTGGGCTCTGATCACCGCATGGAAGTGACAATTTCACCAAACACAGATCATGAATATTTTGAAGAATTAGAAATCAACTTTTGTCTACTCTACGAAATCCCTGAACGCCGTCCTGATGCGTGTATTATATGTGTCTAATGCAGCCCGCTCTCGCCCGTCTCCGCCATGTACTTTTGGCAGTTGAGCATGATTCTGAGCTGATCACTGACTTCCTCGAGTCTACCCAAAACCTTCTTGTTTCCATCAACAAAGCTCAAAATGGAGTAAGGAATGCCGGTATCCGCGCAGAACTCGCGGACAAAGACCTGGGCCTTGCGCAAGTTGTGACGGGGCACGCGGGGGAAGAGGTGGTGGACGGCCTGGAACTGGAGTCCGCCGTGGATGAAGTCCAACCAGGCAGGGCAGTCGACGTCCATGGTGGTGCGCAGCTGGCGCTGGGGGAAAGACTCGCTCTCGCCGAGGTCCGAGGTCGACATGCCCCAGTGGCTGAGGGTGATCTGAACGTGCAGCGGCATGGTGATGATGTGGGAGACGAGGACAAAGGCGACGCGAATGGGCCAGGTGGGCAGCGTGCAGAGGACAAGGCGGTAGCCGAAGAGGTACCAGAAGCAAGCCATGAAGGCGATCTCGGTCGGGCGAATCCACCAGGCCTTGCTGTTACCGAGAGCAGAGGACTTGGTAGACAGGACGTGAAGCCACGACAGGAGGTACAGGTTGAAGCGCGCGATACCCATGACAGGGTAGTAGGTGAAGCGCTGGTATTGGACGAGGAAGTCGGCGGCGGCGTCCCAGACGAAGGTGAAGTCGTAGTAGGAGGAGCGAAGGGACTTAAAGAAAGAAGGGCACGTCGCGAAGAGAGGGACGTTCTGAATATCGGGGTCGTGTTCCTGAGCGTGTTAGTGAAATCCTTTGGCAGATTCAAGCTGGCTGACTTACAGGCTGGTTGGTAATGAGGTGGTGGACATTGTGACTGCTCTTCCACCATCCCATGGACAGACCGCAGCAAAAGTCGGCAATGAAGAGACCAATGAGGGTGTCGAAGGAGAAGTTGTGCGTAATGGCACCGTGGCCAGCGTCGTGGGCGGTGAACATGATTTGATGCTGTGTCATGTTAGTCCTGGTCCATCAAACTGAACATCACGACTTACCCAGAAGAGACCCAAGAAGCAAGCCGACGTCATGTACCACTCGTAGTGGAGGAAGATGAGGAAAGACACGAACAAGGTCGTGTAACGGGCCATCTCCTTGCCATAGTCGAGGTAAGGGCAGTCGTAGAGACCGGCGTCCTGAATGCGGTCGTGCAAGGCGCGGTACTTGGCCTGGATATCTTGCTGGACGGCAGGGTCGAGAGACGGATACTCATCGAGATCCTTCTCGATGCCCTGCTGCATGGCCCAGTCGGTGAACTCAGCGGCGGTCTTGGGGGCCTGGCTGCGGCTGGACAGCTTGAGGCCATCGTCGGTGAAGTCTTGAAGATCGCCATGGGCGGCGAGACGTCTCCGGATGCCGGTGTCGACCTTGTCCTGGACCTTGACGTCCTCCTCGGCAGAGCTGCAGTCGGATGTCAGGGATGTGCGGGAGGTCCCATCGGAGACTTCGCTGATGGCATCGTCTGTGGAATCCTCGTCGAGATCCGACGAGGGGCAATCGACGATGTCGGCAGGGGCATCGGAGACATCTGCGGCTGCATCTGCAGGCGTGGTGTCTTGCTTGGTGTAGACGCCGCCCCTAATTGGTGGTGTCATGTTGACCCAAGGACCCGCAGGCTTCCGGCCTATCCGGAAGGCCCTCATGGTCTTCAGTGTGGCCGCCGAATGATACCTAAAAGAAGCGATATGTCAGCACACTAATTCCACTTTACACATCAACGACGGAGTCTTGATAAGTCCGAATGCGAAATATTAATGGCCCGTTCCCATCTCTCACCCTCATTTTCGCTTTCTCCAACCTGAGGGGCCGCTGCAAAAATAAGCTTAACCAGACTTCTGGTCCATCGGTGTTATTCTGCCAGACTCCTGAACCCTTTTTCCGAATTCGGAAATGGACCAGGGGGATCCCACCCAGATCTCTTGTGGCGCATAGCGACGCAGAGTGGTGATGGACGGGAGCCAGAAGGAACAGAAAATGAGCGCGAGGTAAGTTGAGAGTCATTTACACTTTGATTTCGTCGGTCGCGTCTCTTCCCACCATGTGTAGGATAGCCAAGCGGCCGCCGGGGTGCTTCTGGAGCCAGCTGTCGAGGCGAAGCACCATCTCGTCGAGGATGACGATGACCTTGCCGTCGGCGATGAGGCCCTCGACCTCACGAGGGGTGATTATCTTGCTGTCGCGATCCATCATGGCTTTTGGTGTCTGTATTATGCGATGCGCTCGGAATTCGGTTCGGTGGTCGACAAGTGTCGGTCGCAAAAAAACGAGCGGCGGAAAGAAGTCTCGAGGGGGAAGGAGCTCGAGATGTGAGGATGCGGGAGCCTGGCGATGGGCTCCGGGAGGTGTGTTGGTCGACCAGGCGAAGGAAGTCAACAAAACCTCGATCAGGAAAGAAGGCGCTCAACGAAACGTGGCGGTCGAAGAAAAAGTCGAAGTCGAATTCACCTTCCGGGTCGCAGTCGCTCGCAACCCGAAGATTGGGGCGGGTGGGCTGGTGGCAGGAGCGAAAAATCGACAAAGTTCGACAGAATGAGAAGGACCGTTTGCGCCCAGATGCAAGAGTCGGTGGCAGGAGCTGAGCTGTTTTCTACTACCGGATCGCCCTCGACAGAAGCTTGGTGCTTGCTTGACTGGATGGACCTGGAAAAAGGCTGAAGAGTCAAGACCGGTCGAGCTTCAGATGATCGAATCCCTGTTTGGCCACCTTCACAATGGCAAGAGAGAGGTGTTGGAGGAGAGTCGCGCCATCATCAGACGAGAGAGAGACGACACAATTACGGGCGGATGAGGGTAGGATAAAGGCCAACGACGGCAGGCAAGGCCAGGTACGGGAAGGCAACGGGCGAGGCAGTACCTTCGCATGGGATAGGACTGGACAGGACAGGACAGGACAGGACAGCATGGGGACGGGGATGGAGATGGGGATGGGTATGGGGCTGGGATAGGGAGACCCGACGGCGACCAAGACTCGTCGTACCCCGTACGAGTGACGACCGTGGTGGTGTGGATCACTTTTCTTGTCGTCCATCCCGCGCTGCACACCCCAAGCCCAGGAAAAATAAAAAAGACTGGGAACTGGGAACTGGGAACATGGTGGTGCTGGTGAATGGCAAATGCGATGGGGGAATTGAGAATGACTGGGGACCGGGAAGGAACAAGACGAGAACAGGAGTCAGGCACACCAAAAGGACAGAGAACAGCTTGTTCCCAGCAAGGCAGGTCGGAATCGAAACAGTGTGCGTGGTGGGTTCAGGGTCCCACGTTGCCGTTGCGAGATGCGAGAGAGAGCGAGAGAGAGAGAGAGACAGAGAGAGATTGAGTGCGGGCATTCCATCCGTCAATCTGGGCCCCAAACCAAACGGGAAATGGGAAAATCCCCTCGTCTCCTACTCACCTACCATTCACCAAGCCGCGCCGTACTCCGCCAAGCGCAGAATGACAAGCAAGCAGCTAACGGCGACCCGCGGCACACTCTCACACTCTCACACACCCCTCTTTTCTTTCCCAATCTTGTTCCCCCCTGCTCCAATCCAGTAATTTGGCCGCTGGTGCTTTCGCTAGCCCCGGGGCGCAGCGTATTGTCTTTCACTGTGCATTTGTGCAGCTTCGCGTCTGTCTTGGGAAGCTTAGGGGGGATAGGATGGGGGAAAACGGGGAACCGAGGGCACACAGCAGACCCGACTCGCAAAGAAGTTGCGGCCAAGGACAGTAGCCGGGACGCTGGAGCCGTGGGCCGGAAGCAGCTTATCTGATTGACCGAGGGCCTTGACAGGACCCTGAAAGGCTGAAACGATGAAATTCGGGGTGCTGTTGAATCATGCGGTGCGCGTATTGGACCATACGCGGGTGAACCGTGATTCGGGGCCCCCATCCAATTCTCCAGACTTCTTTTTATGGTACTTCATCGAGGCACCCATACCCGTACCCGTACCGTACACAGAGCAATCTCAGTGCGGACACACACGCTGAAAAAGTTGGCAGAGTCAAGAACACGCGTCAGAAGCGAGAAAGAATGGAGAACGAGTGGGACGGGACCCAGGACCCTTGAAACTCAATTCCGTGCACGGCTCTGGACGTGGCAACTGTGAGCGCCAGCGTCGCCCGTGGTCCAAAGGCAGAGGTGCTCAGATGCTGCAACGCAGGCGGTGGGAGAATGTTTCTCGAAAAAGGGCACACGCCGGCCTAGTCTTTCTTAGGCTTGGCCTTGGCTGGCTGGGCTGGGAGGAGTGTGCGCCTCTTCGAGACTTGTCTTGGACTGGAACTTGGGACCAACGGCCGACGGCTGGGCAGTTGGAACAGTTGGAAGTTTGCCGAAGTTGGAGAAGGCTGGACGGAAATGCGCGCCTGATTGGAGAAAAAGGAGGGTGGGCGTGAAATTTCGACTCGAGTTTCGCCTGCTGATTCCCTGTTTCCAACTCGTTTTTCGGCTCTTCTTTTCGTTCTCATTCTCTTTTCCCGAGCCTTCAACAAACTGGCGGGTAGAAAGCGAGCAGGAAAAAGGTTCATTTGGCGAGCCGAGCTGCTGGAGCAAATTGGCCCGAGAGAAATGGCGCTTGTCAAGCACAAGAGCGGAGGCCGTTTCCCATCAACGACACAATGACGACCAGGGGGGTCGATCCAGGCTCTTGGCCACGGAAATTCTCCTTGGCGGCACCCGCTGCGCCTCAAAGCGAACCCATAGAAACCTTGCAACCAAGTGAGGAGATGCGACATGGATGGTGGCTTCTTCCGTTGGGGTTTTGGTCAAAAGGCCGCCTCCAGGCTCGTTGCCCACTGCAATAGCGAACCTGTCAGTCTGCTAGCGAGCGCCAGTGGCACACATAGTGGCTTTCTTCCCGACGACTGACGATTTGGACTGGCTGATGGAGGCGGGAAGCGTCGTGGATGTTGGAGAATACTTGGCGTCCGCCCCCAAGCCGATGACGGGCCCAGACGCACCAAACATGCTACCCAGCGAACGGACTTCCCATCTCATCTGATGTTTCTGGCGCCGTGCATCACGATTTTTTAAATAGCGCGTTTCTTCGGCAGGTGTCCTGGAACCTGGAAGGCCAGCAGCAGTCAGCCCGTGGTCAATGTTCTGCAGATGATGTTCGAAGGCACACAGAAAAGCAGAAGTCTTCAGCTCACCTCAGCTGGAAGCCCCAACCGACGGCAGCAGGCTGCAGCACAGCAGTAGCGAACGCCACAGAGACGAATCAGAACCCCCGACAATAGTGAACGGCTGATATGCTTGCCAATCTTGAACACCCCACTTAACAGCCACGACTGAGGCGAGATCCATTGCCAGTGATCACAGTACGTACTGAGGCGTCGCATTCGCAGCGTACGTAATATCCCGTATCCATATTGGAGTAGCTCCAATCGGTCCAATGATGGCTGTTTGTGTGCGTGGGCGGTGGAAAGTGATAGGCAAGGGGAAACCCCAAGAATAGTGTAGGTGAGCGCCGAAGGTGAATCGAAAAAGTGGTTCAGCAGCGCTTGTGAACACCATCTGCCCTCTCTGGGGCGGAGGGGCGAAAAGGGGGTTGGTGGGAATTGGATTGCGATGCCACAATGCGAAAAGAAAGATGAGGAGAATCTTGGTTGAGATGGGCAGAGGGTGTGATTGCATGCGCATCAATGACCAAATGGCTCACTCCTATTCCTTGGAGCGTGTTGGAGATGGATTCATGGAACAACGAAAAGTGGAGGGCCTGCGCAGGAACACCACCACGCGCAGTCGATCCGAATGGGCGACATGCAGCGTCAGTCGTCAGGTCGTGGTTCTTCGGATGCGCGCATCCAATACGCGTGAAGCTGGGCGAGAAGTCTCAGTCGAGAGGAACGAATACGTCGTTTGTGGAGCCTGCAGAAAGGGGTATGGCGGCTTTCCCTTTCCCTTGGAGACTTTTTGGAGACGGCTTCGGTTCGCCTCTGGGCCTGTGGCATCATTGGTGCCGTCGGTGATGTCGAAGTGAGGGGCAGCTCGTCTCGTCGATGGTCCTGCGCCATTCGGACGGGTGGGGGGAGGAAGTTGAGAAGCGGAGGGGGTTTGCTAGCGCAGTCGCAGTCGCAGTCGTACCTCGTACGCTAGGCACTTGGTAGCGTGTCCCTTTCCAAGCTTGTCCCAAGCTTCTTGCAGTCAGTCTTGCAGTCTTGCAGAGGTGAATGGCCTGGTCGCACCTTCCCCCAGGGGGATTTTGCTGGGTCTGGGCCCGTCGTCGACCCGCGCTGGACCCAGGGCGATTGTGATTCGACACCAGAGGCACGCAGATCACCGACCGTTGCGAAGCACCGGTGCGAAGCACGTGTCGGCTTTCATCCCGACCCAAGACGAGAAGCTCGGATCAGCTCGGAAAATCTCGAACCTGCCTCGGATGAATCCACTACTTCCTCGTTGAACTTTGAAGTGGAATCGAAAGGCAGAGCAGGTGCCGCCCACGGGTCCTAAGTCCCCGGAAGGTTCCCCCGTCCCCGACGGACCTGCCTCGCCTGCTTCCCGTCCCTGTTCTCTCTCTCATCTGGAAGGCACGGGTTGCTCCTCCTTCCAGATCTTCCAGAAACCCACCCGCTAGCGCTTCGCAGACTGCTGACTAAGGTTTCATCCTGTTTCGGTCGCCACTGCCGTTCGCTTGTGACGGCTTCCATCTCGAAATTCGCCCTTCTTTGGCAAGAAGAAGCGCAAAACCACGACATTGATCCGCTCCAGACCACCTTTTCTCAAGTACTTTTTAACTTGCCAAGCAGTGAAAACCTCTTCGGCGACCTTCAAAGACAGTAAATGTCGTGAAACCAAAGCTGACTCGACGCAGAAACACCGGCATTCGTCCGGGTCACGTGGAGACATGTCATCGCAACCGTATTGGATCGAGAGGCGAAGCGTCATCTCTGCCAAGACGAGGCTGCGGGTGCACTTTAGGCAGAGTTCAAACCTAACGGAAATAGACAGCCTATTTTTATTGTGCTAGAGCGACTAGTTCTCTTGTGGCTATGCTCTAATCACTTAACCGTCGTCGTCTTCGTCCTCGTCCTCGTCCTTGTCCTTATCGTCGCTGTCGTTACTCTCGCTTTGCGATAGGAGTAATTAGGTGCACGGGAAATCGAGCCGCGCAGACACAGCAAAATTGAGTGGTCTCAACGGAAAACGGTCTTGCCTCATGAGCCAATGAGCTGCTATCTTTGCAAATTGCAAGCATCGTACAACCCAGTAGCACACGCGCGCACACGGACAAAGTCGGACAGTCGGAGCGAGTTTTGCGCGGGAACATCAGCAAACTTCGGGGGTGCATTGCCACTTTCGGTCGAAATTAGTGCCAGACCATCGGAACCGGGCTCTTGACAGTGAGCCGCATCGGTTCGACACTACCACCGCGCACGGGAAGAATAAGAAGCCCGCCAACCATCCGCTACGAGTGACGAGGTCGGCGGAACCATGACTGCGTATCAGTACGAACCGCTCTTGTCCCCGGACTCCATCCGGCTGCTGGTCCTCCAACCCTCCGCTTACGACACCGAACTCAGGGGATCCCTACTGTGCACCACGCTGGCAGAAGCTGACTACGACTTGATCGAACCTTACACAGCCCTGTCTTACGTATGGGGAAGTGACGAAAGGCCATGTTTGATTTTTCTCGATGGCAAAGACTTCGCCATCACACAGTCTCTACATGACGCGCTGCGTGATATGCGTGACGCCACGCGGGCCCGCAGGATTTGGGCTGATGCTCGTTGCATCAACCAGGGTGATGTGCCGGAACGCAGTCCCCAAGTTAAGCTGATGGGAAAAATCTATGGAATGGCGCCGAGTACCATCATCTACTTGGGGCAATTGACTGAAGATGCGGCCAAACTGCTCTCTGCCACATCATGGAGAGCTGCAGAGGTTCACCACGAGACGCTTGGCATGGATCAAGGGGCTGCGCCTGCCGCAGACATCCTTGCGAAGCCGATGGAGGCAAATGCTCTTGTCAAACCCGCCGCTCGTGATGTGTTATCACGGCCTTGATTCAAGCGCGTCTGGGTGCTGCAGGAACTAGTTCTTTCTAAAAATCCTTGGATTCAGTGCGGTCGTCAAAGGGTTCGCTGGGACGACTTTTGTCCTTTTTTGCTTGCCGAGTTCAAGCTGGGAACCGCCACCCTTCCCAATGAATATCGGACATTGATAAGCCTCTTAGACGACATGAACGAAACTCGGAATATCCGAGCCAGGGGAGACGGGAAGTCTCTGTGTGATGTTCTAAAAATGCGTCGAGGGTTCGGTGTTGCCGATCCACGAGATTACGTGTACGCAAATCTCAGCATCATAAGTGACTTGCGACGCGTTGGCGAATACCTAGATGTTGATTACGGGGATTCCGTACAGGCTGTGTTTAGCAGAATGGCCATTTACATACTCGAAAAAGAAGGCATAAAAGGTCTGATGGCACAGGTCCAAGATATGCACCCCGAGGAGCGTCTCCAGGGCTTGCCATCTTGGGCTCCGGAATGGCAATGCCTTGCTCCTAACCTGACAAATCACATCAGAGACCAACCAAAGTCAGTTTTGGGAAAACATCACGTTCTAAGCATTGGTGGCGTGCCATCCATTTTGGCGCACACGGGATACGACGTCGGAATAATCAGCAGTGTCAGCGCTGTGTTGCCTCTCAATCGAAATACTGTCAACACTCTGTTGTCCCGGGAGCGATATTCCTATGTCCGATAAAGATTATTGAACATGTACGATGTCATTCTTAAAGCAACTGGACCCATAGACGAAGTTGACAACGACTATGTTCTCGTGAGTGGGAACCCCCTGTTTCCACAAGGATGCGAAGCCAGGCACAAAAGTTTGTGTCAGGCCCTTGGTCGAGAATGGGTCCGATTCTTCGAGAACTTAAACCGGCAGTTAAACAAAGAGTTAATGGGAGATGAAGCCTTCACTGTCATGTTTTCTCAGTGGATTTCCGCGCAAGCGCACATTCATCGAGCGTATCTGAACTTCACTTTTAGCACCGGTCTTGGGACGGAAAGGTCTATCTGCCATGGCATTCCGTATCTTCTCGAAAGGTATCTCGAATTCAAGACTGACGACTGTCTTTCTGGAAGACGGCTGGCCGCTACCGATACGGGACATTGCGTGCTCGTTCCTAAATAAGCGCGCATAGGTGACGCCGTTGTTCTATTAGGCGATCCCACTGCCCGTCGCCCGATAACCTTGCCACTTCTCGTCGTTAGGCGAAAGGAGGTAGCAGGCTCCCAAGCAGTCAATTCCACAATTATGAAGGCGTTGCATGAGCATAAACTACCCCACCGGTTCGACCGTTTCTTTCTGCCACTGCAGTGGCCAGATTACCTCGCAAAGAAAGCTGAATGCGTCGAGCACTATTCGTTGGTTGGACAAGGCTATGTTGATCACAACTCAAATGTTGCCTCCCATTTGCCCAAAAAGGAACAGATGCATGTGTTTGCGCTGCACTGAAAGCTATCAGTCAGGAGAAGAGGAACTGTCCGCCGCGTCGAAGGGCAGATATCAGTGCACGGGAACTTCGCTTATGATGGGTTCGTTTAGGCTCCTGGCTAAGATACCTATGTTTTCTGTTTCTGGGCGGCTATATTTCCGGTGTACTTGATTAGATACTAGTATGATGGACGACGATGCCGATGAGGACTGGCAATGACGACGGCGGCGACGACGACGACGACGACGACGACGACAATAAAGATAATAACGACGACAATAACGACGATAGTTATAATGTAGATGAGGATAAAAAGTAGAGTACAGTATGGAACCACAGGAAAAGTAGTCGCTCTAGATAGCACATGATAAATAGGCGGTCTCGCCTGGCTCTAGGCCAAAACGGCTGCCATTGAACTCTTACATGTGCTTCATCTGAGTTGACATGAGTTATCTTCGTCTAAATCTTTGGACCAAGGCCATGTGAGCCTTCCAGGTTCGATAACTGTTACATCCAATCCGCCTCCCACCTCGGGGCGTTCAATATCAACGCCATCAAAGACCCAGACAGCAGCGCCGTAACAGGCACAGTAATAAACCACCCAAAATAAATCCAAGCTACCAACCTCGGGTTAATACACCTCCAATCCCCATTCGCAAGCCCAACTCCCACCGTCGCGCCCGCGATACACTGCGTCGTCGACACAGGCAACGCCAGCCGCGTCGCCATCAGCACCGTAATCGCGCTCGCCAGCTCCATCACGAACCCGCGGCTCGGCGAGATCAGCGTCAGCCTGTGCCCCAGGTTGCGCATCACGTGGTATCCGTACGTCAGCAGCCCCAACACGATCGCGCCGCCGCCGAAACACAAAATCCACAGCGGCACGCCGACCGCCGTTTCCACTCTTCCTGTCCGCCAGATGTCGTAGGCCGTCGCAAAGGGCCCGATGGAGTTGGCCACGTCGTTGGCGCCGTGGATGAAGGACGCTGTAGAGGCCGTGAGGACCTGAAGCGCGCTGTACATGTACTCGGCGCGGTTATCGTAGTGCGCCGCGCGCGCGTGCATGTCCTCGATGTCCCAGCTGAGGAGGGCGTTGCGCTTTTGCAGGCTGACAACGTCCTTTTCGAGGCCGCGGAGGACGAGCCGGTTGAGGCGCCAGAGGAGGACTGGCAGGCTGTTCCAGGGCCCGGCGGGGCGCGGGGGGATGATGTCTTCCGAGGAGCGGCGGGAGGTTACTGTTTCTGTGGAGGAAGGGGTTTGCGGGAGGGCGAGCGCCGGGGAGGGGAGTAGCACGGCGGGCGGCTCGTCTTTGAAGAGGTCAGAGGGCGTCTGGCTTGTTTGGATCGATTCGAGGAGGGTCTCGGAGGCGCGGACGTAGGCGAGCTCGTCGGCTGTGAGGTGGCCGCGGTAGTAATCTTTGATGTTGATCTTGTTGACGCCCGGCGGGGGCGGAGGGGGCGGCGGGCGGTTGAGGAGCCAGGGGCCTTTCCACATCATTGTCCACTCGAGCTGCCAGTCCTCGTTGACGATCTTGCGCCAGAGGTACGGGAGGATGAAGAATGCCTGGAGAGAGGTGGCGCCTGTTGCGACGGAGAATACGGCGATGAGGATCTGGGCGGGGGTCAGCTCGACCTCGGTCTGGACCCCTTTCCACGCCATGAGCACTACAAATATGTTAGTGACGGGAGAACTAAATCAACTGAGAGATTCGTTTACTCGTCAACGCTCCAAAGGTCAGGAACGTGTAGAACGGGATGGAGTAAAACGCCTTCCTCACCGCGTTCGTCTTCGTCAGGACGAATTTCTTGGTCACAAGAAAAAGCCCCGCACCCAGCACGCCCGACAGCCCCGGCGCGATGACCCACGCCGCAAAGACCTGCGACACGCCGCCCCAGCCCCACGAGATCTTGTCGATGCCGACGGACGCCGTCGCTGCGCCGACGATGCCGCCGATGATGGAGTGCGTCGTCGAGATAGGCAGGCCATTGCGGGTCGCGACGCTGAGGAAGACGGACGAGCCGAAGATGGCGCACATCATGACGAGCAGCAGCACGCTTGGGCGGTCGTCGTAGAGGTGCGGGTCGATGATGCGGTTGCGGATCGTGTCGGCGACGCGGGAGCCGATGGAGACGGAGCCCCCGAACTCGGCGAAGGTGGCGATGACCATAGCCTGCTTCATGGTCAGGGAGCGGGAGGAGACGGAGGTCGCGAAGGAGTTGGCGACGTCGTTTGCGCCTGGGCTGCGTCAGTGGATGCTGGTCCGGGGTTGGGTTGAGTGCCTTTGCCGGGGGTTTCCACGACGGGAGGTTCTTACCAATGTTCCAGGCATCGAGAAAGGAGAATATGGTGGCTATCGCAAAGATGTAGTCATATTGGTGGAGGGCTGCCGCCATGACGGCTCGCCCGGCGCACAGCGGCACGGAGGTGCGGTGTTGGGAAGTGGAAGATGCTCGTTTCGGCTCCGGGTATGTTCGGCGGGGCCAGTCCGGCGGGACACGGCTCGGCCGCGTTAATAGGCACTCATGTTACGAGTCAGGCCTTCAAAGCACTCTCTTTCTAGTAATTCTGTTTTGATGCAACACGGCGGTTCGCGATGAGGAACGAGCACGACGGATGATCTGCCTTGGATATTGAGAGAGTGGATGCTGCGAGCGTCCGGGGGGCTAGGGGACGGTTATATGGATCGCGCATTCTGGCCTGCCGTAAGCCGAAAGCTCCAAATCAGGGCGAGCCTCCCGCATAGGATTGGCAGCGATGTGGTATCAGGGACCTTGGTGTGCCTGGACGGGCTGCCTGGACGAGATGACAGGCGCATGCTTCTGGGCTGCCTCGTCCGCCCGGCTGGCCTCGCGTTAGTGCCATTGATCTCTCCAGACCCCAGCTAGCTGCAGGAGCTGGGCGACTAAGACACGAGGCGGGGAGGTGGTCGATGACAGGCTAGATAGCTGTGTTGGAAGCTCCATATTGCTGACCGACGGGGGCGGAGCTGGCGGACGCGAAAGGGCGAAACACGGCACACTTTGGGCGCTCAGTATGTCGTTTCCACTCGGGAGGCTCGGTCGCTATGTAATGATGGTAGCATGATCAGCGCCTGCAGAAATGCGGCAGTGGCTGAAGGAGCAGCTCTCCCAGAATCATTGTGACACGAAAGATGTGCGAGAGCTGGAGAGCTTGGCGGACGTTGAAAAAAGGAGCCAATCGATTGCCGGGATTCGAGCACGCTTCTCAACGCTGCGAGTTCGCCAAGACCCACAACCCACGCGGGCGCCGGGATGGAGGGTGACATGGGTTGTTCCTGTTCGGGGGTGCTGTTGGTGTTCTCCTGTACCAGCGACGCGCGGTGCTATTCTGCGTGGGCCTTGCGGATCATCGACTCTTCCGCAGTATACATCCTCGGTGCTGGGCTTTACTCATGGTTCTTTGACTATAGCCAGGAGTGTCTTAACACGAACGACTGCCAGAATCGTGCTGTTGAGATCCAGCAGAGCTCGGATTTATGGGTGTATAGCCTGTGCACTAAGGCCATCGTAGAGATGGTGATCCCTATTAGCGGGGTTACCACATTGGCCAAAGATAGCATCAATGGATTTTTGTCTTCCATTCTGGCCTGGCTGGAGGGTTCCAAAGATGTCACTGGTCAGCGTGATTTCGAGGATTTTCAACTTTTCACCCTCAATGGACTCTGCAACCAGAATGTGCCTGAGACATGCAAGACAGCGTTAAGCGGAAAGATCCTGTGCGACTTTTGGGTGAGCATGTTTGAAGAGCCGGGATATAGAGGTACGCTCGGCAACAAGACGTTGACTGACTCGGTTGGTTGCTCGGGTTGCGGGATGTCACTGCAAAGCTGGTTCGACAACGTCCATGCTGGATGTCAGGGCTAGAATATTTCTGTGGAGATACCGATTCTTCATGCAGGGCGCATGTGGGCAGGATACAACGAGCTGTCTCAAAGATCCGGAAACCGGGACTTCACTGCAATGATAAGGACCGATCAGACAATCAGTCAACTCAATGAACCGATGAGGCTAATAACTGCAGACTTGATTGCCGAGTTCAGCAGCGTCATCTCGATCCGGGAAATGCCACAGTCCGAGATGTGCTCCAGATGCTATATCAACCGTCTTGCTCTCATGCAGAGTAGCTCATATTCAATTTACGATGATAATTATGAGAGCGACTTGGAACTCATCTACGAGACTTGCGGGGAAACCGGACCGACTGATCTTCCCCCACCAGTGTCCCCAAAACCTGATGAAGGATCAACTTTGTGCGTATCCGACAAGTGGCATACCGCCAGTCAGGGAGGCGCATCTTGCGAGCAAGTGGCCTCTATCAACAATGTCTCGGCTGTTGCATTGTACAGCATGAACCCTCAGATCTTTGACTGCAACAGTATCCCCGACAGTACCGAGCTTTGTCTGCCGCTATGCTGCGGTCGTATCATTTCTTACACTGATCAAGATACTTGCTCCGGTCTCGAAGCCGCGCATGACCTTGAACCCGGAGACTTACAGAGATCCAACCCTTGGGTATACCGCGATTGCAGCAACCTGGCTGGCGCCATTGGCTTCTTCGGAATCTTCTATGCGCTGCACCTCAGAATGGCGAGTAACTACGTGCACGGAACTCCTGGAAGTGGTGGAGATACTGTGACACCCCATCCCGGGGGAACAGGTTACACGTCATTCCCGATCGATCCGTCAAACAACGCAACCATTGCAGAGGGAACAACGATGAAATGTGGAAGATGCCATGTGTCCGTGGAGGGTGAGTGCTGCGCTACGATCTGCTTGTCATCGGACATCAACATTGCACTGTTCGTCGCTGCTAACCCATCACTTGGGAGCGAGTGTTCGGAGTGCACGAGTAGTTTGGTGTCTGGGAACGCGTACTGCTCCGGGCCAACATATGACTGGGAGGATACGGAGGAGCTCTGAACCTGGAGTGCCACGCGATGTAGTCCCATTCGCATATTACACTAGGATAATACTACCAGTCAACGCCTGGAATACCCCAACAATTCAGAGCCCCGTCGGTCTCGGACCACGGGTCTTCAGCCCATCCGTTTTCCTCGTAGATAAAATCCGCATCCTCTATGTCGAACCACATCCCCCAGAATTCATATATCCCCGCACGACCCCATAGTCTACCGCGCTTCGGCCATCCACGGTCAGCCCATTGCTCGCCAGTGACGAGTTTGATCCAACGCTGGTTCCTGGGCGGACCCATGTTGTCAGTAACACTTTCCCGATCCTCGGGCATGGCCAGAATCGCATGGATACTCTGCTGGTCAAGCATCAAACAGAATCCAAAACGGGCATTAGGAACATCGCGTTGGCCGGTACAGTTGAGATGCTCCTTGACCCAGGCATCGAATCGTCTTCCAACCTCCTCCGCATCTGCTCCAGCGAGTCCCAGATCATCTATAATGTAGCTGTGATACCGACTTGAAAGATCCTGGTTAGGCAGAGGGTCTTTGGGCTCTCGTCCTCGGCGACGAGTGAGGTCATGGTAGGCCCAGTGTTTAGCGTAGTTGTTGAGCCGCTCAACGGCCTTCGTGAATGCCTCATCAGACCCGTAAGCGGTGCGAAAGATGGTAAATCCCCAGCAATAGGGATAACCGTGGCTTCCATCGTAGTCGGCCATTTGAAGTAGGTATTGCCTTGAGCTCCGATTCGTTTCCGGATCGTGAACGAAACGAGGCTTTGGGTTGGCTATTGCCATATCGATGGGCTGGAAGTTCGCCATCGCGTGCTTCCAGTTTGTGGGAATTACTGTGTGAGGCGCGCCAAGACGGCAAGAGAGGAAGGTATGTTGAAGCAAGAGAAACCAACGTTTTTTTAATTCTCTTCAGGTGCCTGCATCTTTGCTGATGAACCCGCCCGGGTCGGAATTTAGAGTGGGGCCGGAACCATGGTCAACACATTGTTGTAGTTGTCTGAAGAGCACGATTGAATCTAATATCAGAAGAGCTCTAGCATTAAAAATCAATAACTGTTATTCATCTCTCGTTGATTACCCAACCTATCACGCTATGCATATTCTTTTACCACTCAAATTCCGATGACTAAACTTTTGCCAGCCCCCACCCTCCTTTCGCAATACGACAAGCAATGAGGAACGATGTTCCTAAGCACAAGCAGAGACCTCCGAATATGAAAGCGTACGTGTACTCTCCCCCGCCAATCTTGATCAACGCGCCGGCGAGAGGGGGGCCGGTTAGGTTGGCAAAACTGACGATGGAGTACACCATACCCATCCGTGTGCCTGCCTTGCGAAGGTCGGTTGTAAGAGACGATAGGGCGGCCGGGAAAAGACCTTGTACCGTGGCTCCGAAGATGCCTATAAGTTGGAAACACGTTAGCGATGTTTGTATCTTAAACTCGATAACAGCGTGGGGCGCAGGTGTCCAAGGCAGCTCAACATTGACGTACCATATACCACAGCCCAGGCGTATAAACCAGCAGCACTCTTGATTGCCATCCAAGAAAATAGAAGAATAGTGCAAACTGCAGCAGCGGGTGTGACGACGTTGAGAGGTCCCAGGAACAGATCTGCGAGAAAGCCGGGTATGACGCGGCCAATGGCTCCAACTCCGTTCATTATCATCAGGATATCGATCGAGGTATCATAGGAGAACGACAACTTGTCGCGACTGAAGGGGCCAATGCTACTTCATGTCAGTGTCTGATGCTTGAATGGGCTTTTACTGTTGTGACTGGACTTACTAGTAAAAGGCAAAGTAGACACCCCAGAAGTTCTAAAAGCGGTCAGCATTTTCTGTACAAGTTTGGAGTTGTCCACGACATACAAAGAACATGCCAATCGTGAACAAGAGATATGGCTTCTCCTTGAAAGCCGACAATTCGACAAGCGAGCCGGCACGTCTCGGTCGAAGCCGAGACCTCATAAAGATGTTGGCAACCAGCAAAGTCACGAGCTGCATCAACGCCATCACCCGCATCGTCCACCCGAAACCAATCTTGGGCAAGAGCTGGCGCGCCATGACCGGATATATCATGCCTCCCGTAGCCGAGCCGCTGATGGCAATGCCAATAGCCAGGTTCCGCCGGCGCTTGAAGTACGTCGACAAAACAGCCATCACCGGGCAAAACAACCCGCCCATCCCGAGCCCGATGCAGAGCCCCTGGGACAGGAACAGCTGCCAGTATTCCGTTGCGAAGGACGCGGTCAAGCTCCCGAGCACAACGAGTGCCGAGCCGATGCCGAAGACGGTGCGGAAGTATCCCGCGTCCGTGAGCCGTCCGGTGAAGACGCCCACGACGAAGAGGAAGAAGACCTGCATCGAGCCGATCCAGCTGATGTCAGACGCCGGCCGGGAGAGGTAGTCGCGGTAGAAGGTCTGGAAGATGCCGAAGGAGTTGATGGTGCCCCATGTATTAACGACGACGAGGTGTGCCATGAGGGCCTGTGTCCAGGCTTGCAGACCGCCGTCTGGGGGTGGTTCGTCGGCGTCGGCGGGGGAGGTCTTGGAGGTCTCTTTCGTTGGAGCATTCTGTTCGATGTCTTCGTCGGATGTATCGAATATTACGGATGTTGAAGGTGATGGGTGGGAGCTGGAGGTGTTGTCGGGTTGGTTTTTGTCTTTGGAGTATTGCCCTACTCGGGGCTGCGTGGTGTCGTCCATGATGATGGGGACAATAGTGCAAACGGCACAGAGAGCTCAACAAAGGGGTATCGTCAAAGCAAAGCGTCTTCAGTTGTTAATTAACATACAAACCAAGAGAACAGGCATTATCTCAAGCTAGACATTAGTTTATATTCTCAGCAGCCGCTGAGGGCACACAGACGGCCAACATCCCATTTCCAGCGTTGCTATCGTCGTGGCACTTACACCTCCCATGTCTGCCGCCGCAAGCCGAAGCGCTCAGCCCAAGCGACCCGATAACTTTTCGAGAACATCAAAGGAAACACTCTTGAAGCCCCGTACTCTGACTCAGGATACCCAAGTTTTCCGGACGAGGGGTTTCCCGCACCAATCCCCTTATACTGCGGGTTTCTCGGCAATTTCCCGGTGAGTTTTCCGGCAACCGGCGAACTTTCCCGCGGGGAAGATAGCGAACAGGGGCACGAGTTGCACTCAACGCCGTCAGAGCTTCGGAAAGCGACGCAAAATTTGGTTGGCAGAGATATCGTTGCTTCAGATTTCCACTTCTGGAGGTTAGTCGCTCGGTTTACGTCGGCGCGGGGACTGGTGTCCAAGTCTCATTATGTCTCCACTCATGACTTGACAGAACATCTTGGGCCTGCTTTCGGGTGTAAGTGACCGACAGCTGGTTTCGGATCCTTGAATAGCTAGCTTATGTACCCTTTGTTCATTGGGGACAAGAACTTGAAGCTCCCCAGCCTTGGCTTATTTTTCGGAAGTTTCAGTTGACTGTAAATGTCTCATTGGTGAGAGAGAGCGTCGACTGTTGCTGAGTGTCAATCCCGCACGTCTTGAACAGTAATTAGACAGTAAGGTAGTCTACCTGTACCCGCTGGGATGTTGAAGGACGCGAAGGCCTCGAAACATACGAAACCCGCCAAGTTACGTAAGGTGTTTTCTTGCACGAGAGCGTAAACTCTACCCTGATGTCTCGGCAGTGCGTGTCATAGGAGAAAGGAAAATGGATGTGGCGCCTTCGACTTCGTGAAAACAGCGACCATTGGCCCAGTGACAATTCATAACTTGACTCACCAAGGTGTTCCTGCAAGCTCCTTTTACCCCCTATTTCTTCAAGCTGCCCCCTGAAAATTTTCTTTAGCAGTCACACACATTCTCGATCTATGGCCATACCTCCGCGCAGTCACGAACTAGCTCATCCCAAACATGGAGAACGCATCTACTCAGGGCAAGACGAGGTTGGATCAGATGCCACCGGAGATCATCTTGATGATTTTCAAAATCATACAACCCCGAGACATTCTAGCCTTGAATCTCACCAGCACTACATTCCGCAATTCTTTTCTCGCGCATGAATGCATCATCATCGGCGAATTGGTTGCCTCAATTCGACGTATGCTACCCGATGACTTGCTTCACCTTGCCATGGTCGCCGTCTACCTCCGATTCATGAACGCCAAAGTCGACTATACCGCAAACGACATCAACCCAACGGAGCATTCCGAGCGCCTGATTGATTACGTCGAACGCTCTTTCGATGACCCAGTAACGAGATGGCCGCAACAGCAGCTTCACCCGGTGGACGTGGTGGCAATCGGAGAGCTAGTCAACGAAGCCGAGTTGATAGGCGTTGCAAGAGAAGACCGTCTAATGGAAGGCAATGATGTTGACTTTGTGTTTCCGTGGAAGCTTAGAAACCCAACCGCCCTCAGTGTGGCCCGCGACAAGCTTCCGATCTTGATCTTTGAGATCTGTTGCCAATGCGTCCTTCGTCATGGCGAGGTTCTTGACACGGCAGGGGAGACGCGTTTGCTCGATAGAGTTGCGCGAGTTGTCCGCGACGGTGTCGCAAAGCTATGGGGCAGCGATAGACGTATCGAGGCCGTGTGGGCGCAAGATAGTGGCCTGATCATGAGACCGGGGGCTTATCTCCGGTCTCTTGAGAGTTTGCTTTGCAGGGCTCTCGCACCTCGTCTCAGGCACGCTGTGCGTAAGGTGATCGAAGTTCAAGCCATTGATAATGGACCGTATGCGCTGTGGCCAGAAAGTGTCAGATTTTTGAGTGAGTCTTTGTCATTGCCAAGCGTGCAAGCTTCCCTCGAGAGTCCCGCGGTATTGTCACGCTCAGCAGCCCTTATGCAAAGAGGCCTGTACCATGACGGGAGATTAGGACCGTTGGATTTCCGAGAACGTGCCTGGCTCCAGGATCTAAGCCCGAGTTTGAGCATTGGTGATTTTGAGAGGATGCCTTTATCAGTAGTCAACAAGCTGGCCAAGGTAGGCCTTCTCCAGTCAGCTCAAGTTGTTGCCTGACGGGTTCCATCACCACTCTATCGCATCACTTGTGTGGGCGAATGCGGCAGCGGCGATCAAGAACTTCTCTTCATCAAGGCTCCCTTTGAAGGCCTCAGGGCAGTGGCTTCACTGAAAACTATATGTCAGCACGAAGATTGGACTCGGTTGGATGAATTCTGCTGGATATGGCACAAGCTCTGTGACGTGGTGAGAAGTAGTACACAACTAGAGAGGGGATAATGCCTACCGATGTGCTCGTAAGGTATCATGAAGACTGCATCAAATACACCATCCTTATTAACACCCATGTAATTCTTGGGGCCACAGAGACGAAGCCCGCCGCTGCCAGGCCCCTCCGTTTCAGACATGCTCTCAATATGACCCTTGCAAGTGAACGGTGAGTGGAACGGAACCTCTGGTGTGATGAGTCGGCACCACCCGCACCCCATGCCGGGGAGGTCACTGACGCTGACGCCCTGGTAATATTGATGCTGCCATTCGCGGCCCTCCTCCATACTGCGTTTGTCCGTCCTTCGCTTCTGGATGCCATCCAAGTTCCCCGCATCGGACGCGTCCCGCTTCCGCTTGGCGGCCCCGCTGGCGGCCTCGCCAGCGGCCTTTCCTCCGCGACCACCGCGTGATGAAGGGCCGCGCCGAGGCAATTCTGAGGTTGAGAAGTAGTATGCAATTGCGGGGAAGGCACTTTGATCTCGGGCAGTTGCTGTTCAGCGCAAGATGCGGGTGATGTAACCCGTGATGTGCTGGCGAAACGGTTCAGGGATTCGCGAACACAGACGTGGACGCGTTTTGTAGCGCTGGCAAGGAACTAGGGAGAAGACGATCTGCAAGCATCGAGGGATGAGGTCATCGGAAGTTTAGAGTCTACCCCTGCGTGGTTAGCGCCATTGTAACTTACACCAAGCTGAGGAGGTTTCCATTTCCACGAAATCTCGTAGATTTTATCAATTTGGGGTGTTCCAACAATGGTGTTAACTTGACCCTATTGAAGAAGGTCAATTGATACAAACACTCGGGCTTCCATTTTCAACGTCCATCCTCGTTGGAGGGGGGGACTCGTACCGTATTTGTTAGCAACATGATCAGGGATTGTTTCAAAGGTATTTCGGTAATGTTTTTGAATTCGCTCAAATCACATGTGCTAAGCGTACACGTTTATCATTTCTCTGATCATCATAAGTCGTTCACCTGCAACTACCACGCCTCCCACATCTGGGCTCCCATTGCAACTAGGCGATTAAACAACTCATCCCTGGTGACGATTGCAGTGAGATGGTGCTCCTTGCCCATGGTATCGGTGATAACGAGACCATCGGCAATCTCACGATCAGTCGCCCACCCCACAAAGATCTTGGACTTCCATCCAAGACCTCCAACCTTCCGGATTTCCTGTGAAACCATGTTAGAATGTGGCGACCCAAGCTTTGCGGAGCAAATTCTTACTTGGATATCCCCAATAGCGACAGACCACACAGGTTTTACATCTTCCGCCTCCGTTGTCCAACTCAGCGCAGGAGTTGTGGCCGTAGCTGTGATGAATGCGTGGCCCCGCTTACCCTTGTATCTCGCCGGAAAGCTAATCGGACCCTTCTCAGGATCGGGTTGCTTCTTGACGACGCCGAGGCGGTCCTTTGCGTGTTTGGCTCCGACCTTGGCCTTGACCTTATCCGCGGCGAGTGTGGTATTGATTCCACCCTTGGCGGTGCTCTTGATAAAGTTCAAAATCCGGTGGCCCTTCTTCTGCTTGTGCTCTTCGGTCTCCGACTCCGCCGGCGCGAGGGCCAACTCGTCGGGCTGGATGGCTTCGTCTATCTCGTCTTGGTCGACGCCTTGTGAGTTCGTGAGTCGTTGAGTTTGAGTAGCATGCCGTCGGAACTTACCGAGGTGCTCCAGGCCTTGGCCCGCAGTGGCGTGAGGCTCATCAGGAGGGGGCGTCGAAGAAACGGGCGGCGGCGGCAGGGGCGCCTTGTTTCTCTCACCGATACGGAGCAGCGTGATCGTAAGCTGGGCATTTGTGGGAATGCCCTTGAGAATGGTGTTTCGCAATTCAACATACTTTTTCCAATGAGGGTAGGTGCTGGACATTGACATACTTTAGACACGCGAGCAATCAGAGTTGACAGGAAGACTGACCGGTTGATGAACACCAGGCCTCTTTGGATAATGGGGTCGCCGAAGAAGCTAAAGCCGACGATGAATCCGGTTCCCTTGATAAGCATGTAGGAAGTTGTGAAGAGCGATCCGAGGAGCATGGGGAGCAGGACGCTGGCCAGGATAAGTCGGGGCCGTTGTTGGGGGAATGGTGGTGTCGGGCTGAGGGCGTTCCCAAATCGTTCGTACGTATCAACCAACTTTGAACAAATCAGACATGCCTAAATCAAAGCTGGCATACATGTCTACTCACATCCGCAATAGCACGCATCACAGGCCTCGCCTGGGTCCAGACCGTCTCAGAGACCGGCTTCTTGGTCTTGTCGTGGTGAGTGGGCGACGTAGCCCCACCGGTCTTGTCCTTGGCGTTGACGACATCTTCAGTGATATTAGTAGGGTCCGGCGCAGCAGTGTCGGTGTGGGGATCGCCTTGAGGATGTTTGCCCGCCGCGGTGCTGATGACCAGCGACGAGATGCTTGTCACGAAGCTGTGCGCTTCCTGTTCCACGGCTTCGCCTGCATGCTTCTCGGGGGCTCCCGTTATGGAGTCGTCGGAAGCGAGGACGCCTGACGCGGGCTTCTTGACGCCGCCAGTCTTGCTGTCGATGAGGGATGCGGGGGCGGGAGGGAAGCAAAAGGTGCGGGCTTCGGGAACTAGGACAAGTACAATGAGGAAGCTGACGAGCACGGGGATGACAAAGTCAAGCAGCCAGGCTACGGTGTAGACGGATAGAAAGGCCGAAGTGCGCTTCCACTCGCGCCACGATCGGATGCGAACGATGTGCTTCCAGAATGAGAATGCGCCAACGATAACTGTCATATACAGGCGTTCCACGTGGGCGCGAAGCTTGTCGGGCGAGAATTCCTCCTCGTCTGCAATGTTAAGGTCGAGAGATGCCAGCTGCAGGGTGTCAGAACCTTAAATCGGGGAGGGTTGGATGGGATCATTGGACGAAGCTTACCGGTGGCTCTGGGATCGATTTGACGTGAAATACTTGCTAGGGGCACATCAGTATCGGCCACCAATGGCACAACATTCAGTCATAGCGTGTATCTAGGCCCTACCTTGTCGAAACGTCGGACGAGGATCCAAAGTTCTTCATTTGACAAGCCACCAACCATCGGCTGCGCGACGTCTTTGGCGTGGGTGTTCCAGCCCAAGTTCTTGACCTCGACCGCGTTGTGGTCCATCTGCGCGTGTCCCTTTTCTTCGATTGGCGTCTCCTTGGTCGCCATGTCTGCAAGGTGGTGGCTGTCCGTGGGCCTCTCGTCCTCATGTGCCTCCACGATCTCCGGTTCCTGTCCCATCGTGGATTGGCTCGAGTAGCTAAAGTCCGATTGAGTTGGCGTATTTGAGGGGTCCACGATTGGTTGGAGTGCTGCTGCAGCAGTCGCTGGCGGCGGCTGTTGCTGCGCCGCCAGCTGCTCGTCTTCTTCTGTTGAGTGTCCCTTGAACATGGTGTCTGCAGGATGTCGGGGATGGAGACCAAAGGGTGGTCCTGAATGCAAAAGCCAGGGAGCCCCTCGTATTTTGAAGCTGCAATGAGCTCCAAAAACATGGTTTGGAGCCAGGTCTAGATTCAGCCGCCGCCGACGTCAAGCGCGTAGCTGGCAACAGCATTCCGCTTTGGGCAATGGACTCATGACGTCACGAGACGCGCATGCACTGATTGGTGCTCCGACAGGGAGATCGCGATGATCACACGCGGAAGATCTCCACATGGATGGGCTACGCGGGAAGGAATGACACTTGTTTACCGAATGATTGGATCCTCTCGCCTGCCTGTTTGACGGCTGCTGTTGCAGCTGCTGCAGCTGCATTCCTGATGCAGAAGGGAGAGGCTGCACCGCACGTTCGATCCCTGAAAGTTAGTGAACTTGAACATCATCCGAGCTCGATGGGGGCGATCATTGGCAGGTCTCTTCGTGTTTGTCTCGAGAGACTAGAGCCAAGCTACTGCATTCGGAAGTCATATCATCAATGGACAACACCATCGTGGGGATGTGGTGGACTGCGCTCTCGATGGGTGGAGGCCATGTAAGTCTCTTGAGAGCAAAATGACCGCTCGGTGCGTGTTTCCTATATCGCATCCATGGATGCACTCTAATTAGAACGCAGACAAAACACAGCAACTTCCCCCGGCATTTGTCTTTGAATCCTGTCTTCCTCAATTAACCCTTGAATCCTAGAGACACGACTAGTCCAGCCTCACCCGCGCGGTTGGAGACCAGCCTCTCGCCTGGACCAGCCGGTCCAACACCTCCCCAAGCTAATCCTGCCAAAGCAAATTGTTTTTCCCAAGAAACAACAATTATAGTGCCTCCCTCCCACACTCAGCTGCCGGCTTAGCGGCAACGGCTGCCGCCATCGTGGTTCCACTCGGACATTATCCTCCAGGCCTGCTCCTCCACGCTAACCACGGCTTAGACACAGCGCCCGCGTGGCTCCACTCTAGGGGTTATCCAGATCTTGCCGCCGCATCCAACGCAACACCCGATCACGAAGATCACCACACGGAAGGGTGGCCGAGTTGGTTATGGCGCCAGGTTAAGGTCAGCTTAACATCTGTTTCCTGGTGGGGCAACCCGCGCGAGTTCGAGTCTCGTCCCTTTCAATTTTCCTTTTTTTGTTGTGCATGCAGATTGATTTTTTTTTTTGTTCCCTTGGTACTTTTTTTCTTCACAGGAACCACATGCCTGTCGAGACAGTCGTTTGATGTCGTCTCCTTGAACAGGAGCGCCGCATCAGGTGAGAGCCAACAGTCGAGACAAACAGTATTTACCTATGCACCACTAGATCATCATAAAGGAAGGTTCGAAATATTACTTCAAATACTTGTATTCAAGTT